CTACATCCACTTAGGTGAGTGTCACGGAGAATCGAATGACATCTTCTGTAATAATAAAAAAAAATTGCTAAACATCTTCTAGCTAAGGGACTCATAAAACAGATCTTCGAGCCCAAAAGGGGTTTTTAGACTGCTCGTCAGGAGTGCTTTGGACTCTCTTTGAGTGGGCCCCTATCACCGCACAGACCTCAATATACACATACTACTTATAACCGATATTAGTATTCCAAATAAAATCCCTAGTTTACTGTGAACTTGAGGATGACCAAGCACTGCGGCCATTAAATTTGACATTTCATGGCATCCAGGATATCAAGGACTTGATAAAAGTGTTTGGAGAATCCAAGAAGGCGGAGAGGTTGGACCTAATGACCCCTTAATATTGCAAAATTAATTAAAATTTATTGTAAATTCGCTTAGATATCACGATTTTACGATCACCACACGTTTTGAGATTAGCGTATCAAAATAAAATTATTTTTGGGCAAAAAAGCACGTTTTAGTAAAAAAAAAATTAAGTTAAACTTTCACACGCTGGATAATTTGAGCATCACGTAGGGGATGAAAAATCGAATGGGTAAAATTTTGTTAAAATGTTAGAACTACAATTTCTTCTCCTAATTTTAGGCAATCCAACTAACAAATGCTCACCTAATTATCCCCAATCGCCTCTCTGCCACACATGGCGTCTTCAACAGTGGACTTAGAGAAGTGTCTCTTGAAGAATTTGATAATCTCCTTTTTGGCAGGCTTTTTACTGGGCCGAGACCAGTTGTCACCACCGGGTTCGCCTCCTTGACCACAACTACTGCTTACACCGCCTCCACCACCTCCACCAATGCCACCAATACCACCACCACTACCACCACCCCCATCACCGCTGGAGCCGCCACTTCCACTGGCGACCATTTTGACAGCAATCTTTCTACTTGTGCCCCAGAGTTCATTTGTCGGTGGTCGCTTGGGCCGTTGTGCTTTGGCCTCCTCCAGCTCTCGAAGGTGCGTGATAATGGTGAGAAGCAGTTCAAGTATTTTATGATCCAACACCGCAGAGACTTCGATAAACTTAGCCTTCTGAGATGCTGCAAACTGATTCCCTTCTAAAATTGGAGGAGAGTTCAGATTTAACTTAAAAAGAGCATTCAGTTAAGTCATCAAAGTTGTCAGATCCACATAGCTGATGAAGTAATGCTTCATCACCGATGCCTCTCCAACCCAAAATCATGGAGGGAGCATCATATTGGATGTGTCTGGACCAATAGACCGCCATAATCCCAAACGTCCTCTCTCCATGTTCTGGAAGTTAGCAGGGTCCCCTACTTCCACTCCAATCATTGATTTCACCCTTATTTACGCATCTGCACATTCGCCAAGGTTGAGGCTGTGTCCAAAGGAAAGTATTTGGCGTAAATCCTAGATACTGCAAAGATAAGATCCTTGTTTACTCACCTCCTCTGTTGAGTGCCTAGCCAAAGAATGATTTCTACTGACTTAAATAATAAAAGTGATAAATCAATTTACAGCTTTTGGAAACTGTTTACTATATGGTATGGCGCAATTTCACAGAGCCGCATCCCACGGTTATCAATATACTACTAAATGGTACGGGTAGTAATATAGTTGAGGTTCAGTAAGTTTTTAAGAGCTTACCCTTATGAACATGCGACAATGCTTTACGATCATGATATTCCAGGCTCTAGTTTCCAAAGGTTGGTTTAAAAGAAGTATCTGCTC